CTTTTGAAACAGTTGTTATGATCTAGAATAAAAGCCCTTTGCGCGACGATTGGCACATTTAACTGCTAAATGGACGAATTTACAGTGAGAAGTGGTTATCGTAAGAGGAAAATTTTATACCCTTCTATCGAAAGAAAAACAGTTTTATTACCGCCCAGCGATGTTCAGTACCAAGGTGATCTCTACCACCAGCTAGTTTCTACATTGTGTGACCGTAAAAAAGCAACATGTCTATTTTTCTGGAATACCAGAACAACTAAGTTAGCTCCCAACTTGAATGAATACTCAATCTTATCATCATCATCATCATCGACAGCATGACATCAGTGTTCAACACCGATGCTTCACTCAATCTTATATCAGAAGTAAAAACGGGTGCCAATCAGATAACACCTAATTCCTGTCCAATTCATCAAAACCCACCTTCGTCCTACCTCCATTGTCCCGAGACTTGTCCCGCTAGACAAGTCCGTCTATCATGTTTTCGTACTCAGTCTTAGTGGATAGGTTATGATTTAATTTCTACTAAATAAAAGACTACCTGATAGTAATATTTGGTTAAAAAGTTCCAGTTCACTTTTCAATACTGCAATAATGTTTTCATTAATATGTCTTTCTGAACCAAAATCAATCAACATTCATGAGGTGGAAATCTGTTAAGAACTCATGAAATCTAGCCCTGAGCATCTCATCTATCTTCCTAAGCAATTCCTAAAGATATTTTCCTGAACAACAATAAAGTAGATCAGGGGTTGCATTTTAAACGTTAGCCTTAGGTGTTGTTTGATTTTTTTTGCTAAGAACAACATGCATGAGATTATAGTTGGCTTCGTTCAGGGTGCACATCATAAGTTTTCAGATGGCTTGGAAAAATTTGTTAAAGGCTGTAAAGTTTGCAACACCGATATTACTTTTCTTGACGACTGAAAGCGGAATCCAGTTAATAAGAAGTGGAAAAATATTGTATCAGAGAATTAGCCGTCTTTCTGGAAGCATGAGGATATGAACACTTGCATCCTCATTGGAGCACCCAATTTGGGCGTAAACTTTTGGTTGAGTTTCATGCTCCGAAACTCCAGAAAACACGTTCGCCAACTGCGGTTTGTCGGAAAACTTGGTATACATCGGCCTAAATGGCCTTCGGTTCCTGAATTCTAAAAATCTCGTGCCATCAATTTTGAATGGTTGTTTCGATGGTTTTATTTCGGATTACGGCTATTTCTGATGTGACTTTGATGCCTTTATTCAAGTACGCTTATGTAGAATAGACAACACCAAATAAATAATGCTGTCGCACTACAACGCCATGATTTGTATGAACTAAGCATTCAAAGGTTTATTGAGTATTTAACATATTTGAATCTGCAGTCGGCCCGAAGTCTTTATTTCCTTTACTCCCAATTAGACTTTAAAAGAAGCTTCTTATTCACACGTTGACAGGTTTAATTGATGCATGGAACAAAACAGACTTCAAATTAGTGCCAGGTGGATGAGCGAAAAACCTTTATTTTTAGTTAATAGTAAAAATAAGAAACGTTGAAGATAAAAAGAACAGTTTGGAAATTTTTATAATCACTGGCAACAAATAAACGTTTCAATTTTCTGAAGGATGAATCTCTAGAGAATATACTAAAGAGTTTTAAAATGTTAAGCTGTTGGATATCACAACTTTTCTTCCGCATGACTACTGATTTTGCCTTGCGTTAGGATATCTACCAGATTTGCGCAGTTTACTGCATCTGTCTGGAATATAAGATGGGACGTAACCAGCTATCTTGTCCGATGGAACGACGTGTCCACACAAGTTAAGCTAAACGATGGGTGCATTGTGGAGTAACATTTCCGGTAATTTACTATCTCAGACTTTGCTGACTGAGTGTGAGCTGCGACAGATATGTCTATCACTTTGTGTGTAATTTTTCCAGAAACTTTGAAACAATTTTCAAGCTCCGCGTCATCCTGTTAGAGAGACCTGTCTCCACCAGAACCAAACATAGCATATAAAACGCAGTGGGGGCAGTGCAGACTAATTACCCGGGTTTATTGTGTCTCCATTGTCTGAGTGGACATGATGATTCACAGGGTATTACTGTCAGACGCAATCACAGAGCCGTTTGTGTGAGAACATGTATGGGGCTCATTTTGTCAGACTAGCACCATATCAGTAGCCAGACGTTCTGGAAACAAGCTCATTTGCATAATTATTAGGAATAGTGGTGAAAATTTCTTGTTCATAGGCAAAAACTCAGCAGGCTGTGTGAAGCTTAGAAACCATACCACAAACAGGCTACTCTGGCCTTCGTTGAACATGCCGACTGTCAAGCAAATCGTACACCAAACACTTTCTATCAGCGTAAAAGAGTATATGTGGGTTCTTTGCATCTCTCTAAGGTTAGACTCTTTTTCACTGTGAGAAACAACCCTGTTAGGGTTGAGCATAAGCTGGATGAAGAAGAATTTACTGACAGCTGAATTTATGAAGACAAAATGTAGGAGAATACACGTATGATCGTCATCAAAAGTATAACGATACTGTCTTTTAACGAAACCTACTTCTAATCACTATCATTTGTTAGCAAAGCAAATAAATTTTTCACGCTGCAGCTACACCAACGAACCGGATTAAACCACTCTTCTGCTTGATGCGCTTAGTCAAAAGACATTAGTTTTGGTCTATGCAGTTGTGGCCCAGGTATTGTGCAGTACAGAAACCAAGATATTTTGGTGATTCTCCACTAACTAATCACAAACAGGGCTAGCTGGGCATATCAACAACAACCTGCAACAGAAGAGCAGTCTGGTACCCGTAGCATCAGTCGTTTTCTGAATGCACTTGCCGTTATGTCCTACCGGATCTTGTTAAACATGTACAGGTACAACCAAATGAAAGCCTAATTATAATCTTAAACTGTGACATGCTTTTAATGCTCAGCTGCCACGCTATCCGATGAGAGCATGAGAACAGAGATGCTTTCCGCGTACCCAAGCACAAACAAGAGCAGTTGCGTGGCCCAGATTGGTCTTGAATCAAGGACCTATCGGTCAGCAGGTTTAAACCCTGGCCCTCTCGAGCATAAAAGTTCGGCAAGCAATATTCCTCTTTTGGTTTCTTTCCGCGTTTGGGAAATGGTCTCAGTCCTTTACGCTTTTCGCGCAAATACTCTTGTTCTCTCGCTCCCAGTTTGGCAAGTGTTATCGCGAAACGCACCATACTCCTGGAGATTATTTTCTGCGTTTGCGAAATGGTCTCAGTCCTTTACGCTTTTCGGGCAAATACTCTTGTTCTCTCGCTTCCAGTTTGGCAAGTGTTATTGCGAAACGCACCATACTCCTGGAGATTATTATCAATATTACCTCTCCCAGGGGTTAAACTTATTTCTTCCTTTAACAAAGTCACATTTTTAAAACCACCATGATGCCTGAAGCACCAGATGGAGGCCTGAAGCTCCTTCAACCAAACGGCAGCTAGTTTGGTTGAGGTGTTTAGGTACTGCAAAGATGAATTTGTGATCGGATGCTGGCTAGAAGTTCGGTACTTTGAGTAAAATTTATGTTCATAAGGTTCAGTGCACAAATTATGGTGGCCAAAATTGTAAATTTTACTCACTTCTGTGCGCAAAAACTGTAATATAGCTGCCATCTTTAGATTAGTTCCATAAACTGGATGAGTCCTGCCTAGGGCAGTATTTTGTGGGAAGTGGCCATTGTGGTAATGGTAGCAAGTACATGTATCACTAATTTTCAGGAAGACAACTCTTACTTTTTTTATTTTTCGTAACTGTTGTCATCGCCCAAAATGGACAAAAATATTAATTAACCCAAATGTCCGTTATTTTCTTAAAGGTGCTTCTAGAAATAAGTTTATTGATTAATTTACGTTGTAGCGGATTACTTTTTTCTTCTTGGGGACACATTTTCCACTTCTTCCCGTGAAGGAAGAGAAATCGTCTAAAATAGTGACCCACCCTCATCAGCGTCAAGCCATCTCTCTAAACACGACTGGGTGTTTTGCTTGCAGTACTGTTCCTTGAAGCCTGTCTGAATATGCTTTTATACAATAGTCATGCAATTTCCAGTTCGGCCCAGCGTGCTTGTGGTATGAAGAAAGCGTTCACCCCAAAATTCGTTACGGACGTAATTTAATAAAAAGATAGAAAATTGCGATAAGTTATTAAAATTGTTTGCATGTAGGGTTAAGGACGAGGCATTTCACTGACATAATTTTAGTAGCATGATTTCAAGGAATGTTTCTTCAGACAAGGCGCTGTTTCGGTGAGATAATTCGTACTGAACAAAGTTTTAGGACCTTTGGGCTTTATTTCTATAGACAGTGGGTACCACTAGTTACGTCAAGTTAAACGAAAACTGAAAATGTGCATCCCAATTTCTTGGCACATAAGTTAGTCAATGAAACAGATGCACACTTCAGTGAGCAAGTGGACAATGTCGGGCTATATGTCGAGTGGTTCGTCTTGATAAACTCTGTGAGACTAGAACTATTCGGGGTTTTCGTGTTTGGTTTCAGCCGCTGTGTATATCCACTCGATGATATTTTCATAAATTTGAGATTCGCATGCATGTTATTCTCATTGATCTCTCAGCTGTTTGGGAAGAAGCTGAAACCTTAAATCGGTAAGCGTTGGTTGTCAGCTGGCTCCAAACTAAAGAATTTGAATCCTGTTCAAAAAGATGACAGCCGTCAACTGATTTTCTGTCAGATATCTGAAAGTGCAATCTACCTAATGGTTGCAGTGTGATACTTCTGCTTTCTAATGGACTATCAGCGTAGGTTGATGGGACCCAAAAAACCTGTCAACGAGTAGAAAGGAGCAGAACAGGAATAGCCATAGGTTCATTATTGATGAGTTAAAATATCTAGATGATTACATCGTCACCAAAAAAGCTTATTAATGCCTGATCAACCCACCTCGCGAAAAGGCTGCATGCTTCATCTCTTCGTTTTTCAACCAGGAAAACCAATTCACTGCTGGACCCCTCAGGAATTCACTCGGAGTTGGGAGGAGTATGCAGAAAACTACTGCTGGGTAGCAAGTACCTATTTCGTCCGTTTGCACAGCTATCCAGGCCCGCCTCCTCCACAGATGGTTTATCCACAAGGAACTATGACATCCGGTGGGTACCTGGTCCCGGCGGGTCATCGTTTTCCCGCACAACCTCACTTACCTCCTGTTCCGGCCTATCCACAGATGGGGGAACGCCCACCAGCAGGACGATTTATCAGCTACTATCAATGGGCTCCAATCCTACTAGCTATTCAATCATTTCTTTTTTATCTTCCCTGTTTAATTTGGCGTCTATTCTCCTCCCGATCCGGCTTTCACGTAAGTGTCACACTTTAGCCTGCTTTCTTTTGATCCATAATTTGTGACTAAAAAGTTCGACTTCAGGCGTTAGCAACTGTGACGGTTATCCTGTACTGAACAGTGAAAAATATTGAACCCCAAGAGATAGGAAATGTTTGTCTTTACAAGCTTTTAAACCGATGATTTTTCAAAGTAGACTTTGTCGTTAGTTTGGCAAAGAGAACCGATATTGACATCTGGGAGAAAATTTAGAATTGCTTGTTATTACAATTTCCATTTTCCAAATGACCGAATAGATTTTCAAGAAGAAAGAAAAAGAAAGAAGAAAAGGAGAAAACGAAAAAAGAAGGAAAAGGCTCTGAGTTATCATTCCAGGAACCACCACTTTGAACAGTTTGTGAAATAATGCACTGCTGAGTCAAGTCATTGTTGATGGGGCCTGAGTTGAGGTGTCTGATATTCTAGCCTTGGTCTCACACAAAGTAGTGGGAACATTGCATAACCGTAATGCTGACCAGAAAGAGAACCGCTGATGCGGCAACACAAAGTAGCTCATTATTACTTGACAATCATGATATATTGTCTCGTTAGGTGGTTGTTATGTGAGCTCAGTTGGATGGAACACCCATTTATTCGAATGACTTGAATGGTGAAGAGGGATAGATGTCTTAGTCGTGGCCACAAATGAACATTGAATATCAACAGTGGTATTCTAAAACAGAACAAAAACATCCGTCCTGCTTTCATTAAGTCCGTTTAACATCTCTTTCTCGGTGACGCTTTGCTACTTTAGTGCAGTAAAATTTATGTCGGCTACTCACACTCCGTAAGTCTGTGGGTATGTTTCATCAAGGAGTTCTGTATCCCAAGAAAAACACTCATTTGCACACAATTCTGGTTTTTACGGAAGACTCACCTGCCACTTTTTAATGATATTCTCCAGCTGAATGCGCTGCACAAAGACCGACTAATGTTTCAGTTGATAGGAAGGAAAATACTCACAAGGCTTTTGAAGCCTTTCGATGAGTTTTCAACCTTGTGAGTAGTTTTTTGCAGGTGTCCTCTTACCTGATTTCAGAGGGGCTTGAATGACCGGTACGGATTTCACCAGGCAGACCAGATAGCTGTAAACGTTTCAACCAATAATGGTGTCATTGATATTCCCATGGTACATAAATATGACATTTGAGGTTCCCTATCCAGACGTGTATGCTTAGCTGGGAGTTTTTACCCCAGAAAACACACGTAGTAGCACCTAGAATGCTTTCAACTGGTGATCCGGAACATCCACCTACTAAAATTAAGTGGGAAATGAGCCAAACGGCACATAGTTTTATGCGATTGAATCTCGAATCGCAAGCACCAAGTCAGATAAAAACCTGGAAAAATTTACCTAAATAAACCTCGAGTGTTAGTTTTCTTTTTCGAACGCATAAAAGTACACAATAAACCCTTACAAGGTTGATTTTGAGCGTTGGAAACCATCTGTGGCTTGACTATTTGACAACGGTAGGATGAGTTCGGGTGAATCGGTTTACAGCGTTAACGAGATGGCAAAATATTACTGGCTAGAATGCGTTGAATGGTAGTAAACTATCGTACACTGGGTGATTCAGCTACAGAAGTTCTCCATAAAAATATCCATTACCTACAATATCAAACAGTGAAACAAATGGTAGGCAACATCGGCAAAAAACTTTGCAACATGGAGACGCGGAACATCCTTAAGCGGGACTCCAGCCTTGTGGTCCCCCTATAACATTCACTTCCAAATCACCCCAAGACATTCAGCTCTCAAAAGTTAAGGAAATTCCAGTGCCCGTATCTGCGATCTGGTTAGTACTTAGTTTGCACTTGCAAGGGGAGTTCATTCGACTTCCACTTGATGGCCCAAAACAGACTGACATTGTCAACAGAGAGAAGAGACTTTGGGGCCTCGTGATTTACGCGATTTGACTCAAGGGACTTGAAGATTCTTGGATGTTTTGGAATGATGAAACTGAAAACTGCCCTGTCGCCCCATCATTATGGCAAAGATCAGCTGGATACATAAAAAAGCCCAGAATACACTTCCTATAGTTCATGTCGTGCCGTGCTTTTAATTTAATTTCGCCTATTTCTGATGAATCAGCTTGGCTACGAGTAAAGGAAAACAAACCTGAATTGAATGATTAGTAGATTTTAGGGGTGGATTTCCGCTGTAATTCTGTTCTATACCGTATTTTAAGGAAACATTGAATTATTCTCTTCAAACTGTTACTTTAGGGTGGTTCTCTATCCAGGACACCTTTTTACCACTATGGTTCACAAGGAATGACCTAGATGCTGCGATACCGAAGATTAATGACTATTGTTTAATGTTTTGTCGACATTTTACTTGGTTGCGTTGACTGTACTTGTAAAATGTCGAAACGTTATGAACGTGAACAATGCTCCTTGAATGTCAATCGATGAGCGCCAGCTATCCCCAGTATGCTTAACCGTAGTGACCTTTGATGCACTGTACATGTTTATAATATCCACTAATATTCCGAGTGAAACTGAAATACTGGGTAACTGTTGGAAACATAACATAATAATACACCAACCGCTTTTCGCAATACCACAAATCAGTCACGAAAACTACCTGAAGCACTAGAATTTTTGTCACAGTTAGAGGAAACCTCATTGCCATTGGGTGAGTAGTTTGATGTTGGAAAAACTCGGGACATCAGTCCGGTGCAACAACTCCTTTTAGCGAATTATCCAAGAGAACGTACGACTCTTCAGGTAACAAATGGATTTGAAGAACCAGACCATAATATCCCTAAAATAGCTTTGCTTACCTTAAAATGGAGGCAAATCACAACAGCTTTCGATTAGTAAAGCAGTATATCGTAATCCACAGAAAAGAGTTGTGGTTTGGTTTGAGACTCGAGTCTGCACGTCGTTGGAGTGCTCGAGGTTCCCGATTTTCAAATTCTACAATAGGGGAAGGAACAGTTCTTCACCGGGACCAAACTTCCTAACTGTAAACAAAAACAACTAGCTGACAAACTACCAACTTCCCTCAACAAATATGATTACTTAGTCTAAATTGAGCGTCAAGAGTGAGGCATTCATCTCAGTAAAATTTGTTCTTTAAACTTTGTTTTGGCAGATAGTTGCTGATTACTTATTACAATGCCGAAAGGAAGGAATTTTGTATTTGGTCATGGATGAAGTGCTGTGTCCAGCGTACTATAGTGTATGGGATATATTAGGACTTCTCCTCAAATTTATATCGTATCCGTCACTCTGAAGTACTCAGACTTTCTACGCGTGTTGTCTTTATCGTCTGTCCATCGAGCCCACTGGTGCCTGAAAATTAACGAGCACAAAACTAACTTGCTAAGGGATTGTGGAAACATTTACGGTCGCATCACCCTGGGTACAGGAATGGAACATTTTCATCCGTTTACCTACACAGGATTTTCGCTTTCAGGTCCCCTCGTATATCCAATTTGTCTACGGCGTTAGAGAACATTTTTCCGTTGCCCATAAGTTGCATCATTGTTCGCGTTCAAATTGTACGGATGATAAACCCTTTTTGAATGTTCCGCGTAAACCTTCGAGATTATATAAATGGGCGAATGTCCCGAAATCGGTTCTTCTAAGAGGGACGGAGGGTCTTTGGTGATATGATAAGGGCCTTGGTCGTGCTTTTCCTGGCAATAGTTCAATAAAACACGGTTTATATTGCGCCAAAAGAGCATCTTAAGCAGTAAACCACCATCTGGCAAGCTGAAATTCGTTCCTCTCTCTTGTCATGCCAATAAAAGGCAGTCGTCTGGATAGACGGATTTGAAATTAATTTTACTCCTCCTTCCACTAGTGATTCCACAATATGTGATTTTCTACCCACCCGACGTTCGGTTTCTGATAACTTCCGGTCTGGATCCTTTTCTCCTCTTTATTTCTGATTAAAAGATACTTCCAAAGCACTTGCTGGACATGTCTGGCCCCCAACGTCAAATTTTGAAAAGAAATGCAAAATTTAGTTTGCGTTTATCTGATTAATCACCGGTTAGCAAAAATTACATCATTCTACAAGTGGGTCTTTGAGCCATCCCTTCAATTATTTTAAAAGATAGTCCCAGTGATGAGCTGTTCACTGGCGTCTTTTATGTTGTCGGCTGCTTGTTTGGCGTGGCAAACGTCAAAGAGCTGTGAAGAAGTCATCATTCCACCCCTTTTGAAGACAGTGATGTCTAAAAGTGGATACTGTACCTACGCCTATGGATCTTACTCACAAGCAGATGATATTGGGTAGCGTTATTCAAAGGCCTAACTGAGAGATTTTGAACTCAGGGTACGAAAGGGACTAGATCACTGATGTGCTGTTTATGTCCTCTTCAGTGTTACTCGATATTTACTGGATTCTCTGTGTACCAGATCAAGTGTCACCTACTATTTGCCAAATAACTGAGTTGAATGAAATTTCTATGGAAATGTGAGTGGCATAAGTTGAGTGCCATCGAATTACATCATGGGCCTGATAGCAATTCGTGAAGTAACTCTAGCACGAATGTTTGCATGATTCATGATATTCCTGCTCTACTCACGGAACGGATCAAGAGACAGGGTAATTCAAGTAGAAAATGCGTTTCGGTTGGAGTCTGCGAAGCCAGTGGTACTGCCGGAAGTTTTAATAACTTATGGAAAATAATTGATGTGGGCCTAAGTTAGCATTTTTATGGCGGGTTTTCTCGCCGTATAAAAACGATTATATTGTAAAGATTAACTTGTGATGTTCACGTTGTGGAAAATGTCGAAAGCTCTCAAATTTGAGAAGAAATTGAATAACCTAAGTTTGTGGACATAAATTCTGTAGTAGCTTCATACTTTCTGCACTAGCAAATAAATTCCTTGGTGTAAAAAGGTTTTGTGGTAAAATCTGTACCAGAGCAGATGGTTTAGTAAAATGCACCAGTTTGTTACATTATTGTTGCTGCTTAAAGTGCTAGCGGCTGTACACAAGAGTATCACTCTTCAAAATAGTTACACACTTATCTGAAGATGAACGCAGCTCTACTTGCAACCGAACGCCTCCATATGCATGTGCATGTGTGTTTCGTTTTACTTTACCTGATCAGTTACGGCGCGTCTGCTGAATTTATTCATCAGTGCTCGTCACAACAGAGATATCAGGTTGGTATTCCTCCCAGGATTTGTTTGCGGCAAGTATTTTTGGAAATGAGAAAATTTTGAATTGTCCAGGCGATAGAAATCTGGTGAACAATTCTATATACAAGCATACCGCCACTACCGAGTTTATCTACGTGAGCATATAGGTCTTGTTTCACCAGGATATTGTGTAGCCGACGACCAGGTAATTGTTTCGGTCATTTTATAGACCAAAGGCTCTACTCTTTGATTTTTGAAAGAAGTTATTAGGGGTTTTTTGCTGACGTGACATTAAATTTGCGCCGGTTTTCACGACAGATACCAAGGCTAGGTTACTTCAGCTTAACAGTGCATATTGTATCCGCAGGGTATAAAACAGATTTTCTCATTCGTTTGTGTGTGCCTCCTCTGTTTTACCTTGCAATGATGATTGAACACCAATATTCTGAAGCTGCCAACCAACCTCTGATTTAGATTACCGTAATGTAAAGAGCACAAATAACTGTACGCGAAATCGTTTCCGATGATGAATACATGAATTCAGTATATAGTTTCCGCTGAGCGTATGTTCAAAAGATCCCTAATTTGTGTATTTTTACCTGCTCCAGCAAGTTGAATGACCAAACTCTAAAGTGTATTTGTAAAACGCGTTCTTTCGAAACCGGGTTATTGGTTTATCCGTTTAGATGATATCATTTTGAAACTCAGAGTTATCCATGTTTTTATGTTCACAGCTCCGACGGATCATGCAGTTATCTTCAGAGGCAGCTTTGGCGGCGCCAACTGAAGCAGATGCCACTGCACAACAAGCTCAGGAGTCCGGACATACCAATCTGGCTAGACTATCCATACAAAACATGCTTAATTTGGCAAACCACCCTGGTGCTCCAGGTGCATCAAGCTTTGCGCCAACTAAATCTGTCAGGACACTGGCAAGATACTTAGATATGTGCCTGATGAGGCAAGCAGAGCTGCGGCTGGCAGATATTATCCTGAACTTGAATGTAGATTCACGTGACTTCTTAACATCAACTCTACCGGCGACAAGCTCAACTCAACCTCCACCACTTGTACCCAGAAGGCAAACTCGAGTAGGAGTGAATTATTCCGATCAAATGTTGCAACAGACATTCATCAAGCGACCCGAAGATCATTATTCAGGTAGGAGAGGAGCAACAGAAGTGGTTGGCACGCATCCGCCGATTTCACTGCCCAAACTCAGACCTTCAGGCTCTCAAACATCCACGGCTGATTGTGAAACGTGGGACAAGTCTAAGGAAAACAACTGCCTGGAGTTAATTTGTTGTTGCGGCATGTTGAGCTGGTGTGCAAAACGGATGCGGTATATATGTTGTGGGGGTAAAAGGTCATGCGCTTGGCGGTCTTGCGTGCGAAATTCGAAAAAATCTTCAGAAGCATTGTCATATGCCAAGAGAAACAGTCAAGAAATCAAAACAAGTGCGAAATTCAATCTTCAGAAGCATTGTCATATGCCAAGAGAAACAGTCAAGAAATCAAAACAAAAGTTGGGAATTGTACAGGTGTAAATTTAACGGAGCACAAGGAGAGCATTCGCAGTATGGGAGTTGAATCTTCGATGGGGAGTCATTGTGACGCGGAGTGTCCCAGCTATTTGTGTTTAGAACATGGGCTTACAAAACCAAGATCGAAATGTGTTTGTGCACGTCATCAGGGAAACTTTCTGGTGCGACTGTATATGTTTGTAAAGCTGCTTTACGTATGCAATGTAGTTGGGCAGATTTACCTCCTAGAGTATTATACGGGTGTACAGTATAATTTTTACGGCATACGCGTTTTATATGATTTGGCTACCGGCCGGCAATGGGAAGAATCTGGACACTTTCCACGTGTCACCTTTTGTGATTTTGAGGCCCGAAAACTGGCACAGAGTCATTAGTAAGTTTACTGTTTTCTTATTCTCCTTCCCTAAGTAAATTTGAGGTGAATTTATGATACCATAACAGTTCAGCACAACTAATTAAATAACCTGGTGATAGTCCAAATATATTCTATAAATAAGGAGGCTGTTCACCAGCTTGACTACTGCGCTCGTAGTTTAACGCTCTCTTGAACGTCTATACAGTAATTTATCATTATAATTTACATTGTTATATGAAATCAAATTTTTGCTCTGATGCCTAAAGGTCGAGGGAAATCTCTACATTCATTTCCTTGGCATTACTTTAGAACAGCTACGGCTTGGCTACTGTTGCTAAGCCTCAATGATGGGGCCTTAAATTGGCAATGAAGTAGTCTTATTAATGAATGAAAAGATAGTCTTTGGTGAGTCCTTTATTAATTGAATGGGGTGCTACACATGATCCACCACAACCAATTTACTGCTTTTAATAGCTCCCTTCACTGTAAATATCTTGTTATTCAAAAATACGTGCAGAGTTCGACCGATGGCTAACCCAGTTGCTAATCTTACAGATCTTGGTCCACATTAGTGTCAGAAGTCAACATGTAAACTACCATAAGCGGGTTTAGCTTTAACAGAGATAAACCTTTGTTGTCCTTTCCAGTTGTTTGAAAGACCGCGGCACCGACATTAGTGTTACTATGCGGTTTTACGAAAATACAGTAATGCTCAATGCAATAAGCAGACCTCTACGACCATCGGGGAGTGTAACTACATCACGGTTTTTAGAATAAAACATGTTAACTGAAGTGGGAGTCCACACATGTTTACTAGGCGATAGACCGATTAAATTGGCGACTGATTGAATAATGTTGTTTTTAAATTTCGATCACAAACGCTGGTGTGAATAGGCTTTTATGCCTTATGATGGTCTCGCGATATCACCTACACCGCGCGAAAAACAGGCCGATGCTTCCCTCTACTTGTTAGCATTGTAGTGGTAAGTCATGATTGTCCTTATTTGAACAGAACTAGCGCATAGGGAAACTTTTCAGCGGTCATGGAAAGTACAGCATAATGGAGCTAGTTGTGTGGGTTGGATTTGGACAGAAACTGCCCCCTATATTCATAGTTTAGACAACAAAATTGCCAGATGATTCGGTGATAGCAAAGGTAGTACAATTTGTCAAATAAAGTTCCACGGACAGGACCTGAATAAGGTCCTCTCTTCCTGGGGTTTATCGTGTCGGCATAGCCTCGAATAGTCAACCCTGTTATATATGAAGCAAAATTGCACGCATTTCTTGAAAGACAACCAGTTGCAAACTAATTTGGTTTTAATGTGAGACCTAACTAAATTCGCCTGAGTTTTCACTCATGGTGTTCCTCCTCGAATAAGTTTTTTATTTGGTAAGATATTCTAGATATCAAAGTATAGCTGCCCTCAATAGCCAACCGATTTGATGATAACGTTTGAGGGGGATTACTTGTTCTACCTGATTAAATGATAACTAACAGCAGCAATCGAATGTAGCCATAAAGCTGCCAGATTAGTCCTTCTTCAACAATTACAGCCCTACCCCAAAAGGACTCGTCGCCTTTTTCGTCAAACTCGACGGAACCACGAGATACCTTAAGATACCTTAAGGAAATCGCTTATCAAAGTGGTTTGCCGGAACAGAGCCGCTCTGTCGCAATTCCGCTATCGCTGGACATTTTTAGACCCGCATGTGGCTTTAAAGTCATTTTTACATTCAATTGGTCGAAAGCGTAGCTTTGCTGGAGCAGTTATAGTGCAGCTTTTTAGCCCTCGCTTGTGTGTACAAGATCAGCTTCCAGTTAACGCATCTTCAACCTGGTAAACCACTTCCCAAACATGAATATTCTTGACGTTGTCTAACGTTAACTTCACTGTATTTCATCTTATTCTGTGGATGTATTCGGCCATTGCAGTCACCGGTTATGCTGAACTGTAATTCTTTTTGCTATAATGACTCATTCAATACTCTTCCTTTGCCTTCCTACAACCTGTTGACTTTATTCGTCTAGTTGACACCACGTGTTCTGCTCGTGGTACACGGCTCGAGCTTGCTACCTACACCAATCCCCACAAGTGTTACGAACTTGTGAACCTTTGTGAATACCCACGGCATTGTATAAGTGCTTGGCTTAACATCGTAGGTGTGACTATCGTGCTGCACAAGATATCTTAGGCCATAAAGCTGGCCTTTCAAGATCTCCCGTCTCTCTTCGAGAGATTCAACGCTAAGTAACACTTGTTACTACGGTGTACCCAAGACAGTGTGTTTAGTTACTCAGGGTTGTCAGGTCGACAGGTATCATAGTGGCATTAGGTACGGAATCTGCAACAGACGTTTATTGAGCAAAATTAGTGAGATAACTTGTAGGCGATAAACGGTTTCCATCGGTTGCTAGGATCAGCTAAAGACACGTTATATTTGATTGCGATTTTCTGGGCGCACCGCATTTCTTATCTTGCATTGCTAGACGTCAGCCTTCAAGTCAATAAGTACTGAAAATTATGGGGGGATATTTTTACTCCTTTTATTGGATTTAATCTATGGGATTGATAGTGGACTAAGCATGGAATTTTTCCTAACACAACCTTCGCCCATTTACAAACAGGGCCTACGATTGCATCTTGGTCGCCCCACCTGAACACGTTAATGGGCATTTTTTACTGTACTGAAAAAGGTCGTGGTCACGTGGGCATACAGTGCAATATAAACAGACATGTTTGTGGCAGTTCACACATTTATGCCAGACCACATTGGAGGTGTCATTGCTTCGTTAGTTTATCGGGCTGTTATCACGTGAAATGTCATTGTTTCAAAGTGGTTATCAATAACGACATGTGTTCTGTTGATTTGGTATGTTTGAAAAAGTATGACATGCTCCTCTACATGACATCCCGATTATATTCTACCCATCATACTTGACCATCCATAAACACTTTTTGGTGGGTACCGGGAGGTATACTTGATTAGGATCTTGCCCCTGAGGAATGGAGAACAACAGGTATAAACTTCAATGTTTTCCTAACTAGACCAGCAGGAAGGGAGCTGCAATAACGTTTCAATCCTTTGGACGAAATGCTGGATGTTTCTTTCCGTTTCGTCATTTTTCGGGTGTGTCAAAAGTTCTGTTTCAACCGGAGTGAATCGTGAGCATGGCTACTACCATCTGTATTTATATCTCTTGATCGATCTACACGGTGAGCCTGCATACTAGTTATTAGGACTCTGTTCGTGTTATTCCTGGAAAACGTTTTATGCTAACCTGGTAGGAATAAAAGCAATAGAAAATCCATCTCTCATGGTTAAAGCAGGTCAACATGGAACACTGTGCGCTGTCTCCCCCTATATTCTGGTACCTCTGGCCTCCGTTCTTAATAGGATCACAATACACGCTGTCGAGCCAACATTTTGATCATCTCTTATCGGCTAACGACTAACAAGGCCCGTTTCTTGTGGAGATTTCGTCCTGTAAGTGAAGCTAATCTGTGCTGAAAAGCCGAGAAGCACTGCACAGCTGTTTCATCCTTATTGGTAATCATCAGCAGTGCGTATCTCATGAAATCCCGGAGTGTCTGAAAACTACTAGCCGGGAGGTCGCGGGTTTAAAACTCTCCGGGATTTCGTGGAATGCGCACTGCTGATGATTCCCAATAAGGATGAAACGGCTGTGCAGTGCTTCTCGGCATCTCAGCATAGATTCGCTTCACTTACAGGAAGAACTCTCCACAGAACCCCAAATCTTTACACACTACCAAAAAAGCCTGTTTTCGTCAGAAGAAAATATCATAGAAGTTCTCGTGCTACAGTTCATTGTCAAGCTGAGGACAGCAGCGAACAATGCGAATCTTTCGATGCTTTTTTGGGAACAAGAAGAGGTCTCCTGTGTAACCGTATTTTTCAAGTCACCCAAAGGGGGTCTGTTTCCATTATGAATCGGATAACCAGATGTTTTTTCTGAGATGTTCTACCCTTTTCTTTCGAATTTCGGTCTCCTTAAGGCTAGCAATGGCATATGTTGGGCGATAAAACTACTTTCTTCTTTACGTCTTTAAGTCACTGATACATTTTTAGATTAAAAATTCACTTTTAAATTGGACATTCAAGTAATTGATTTCTATAATATCTGGCTGTTTGGAGGTGTAATTGTCTTCTTGGCTCTAAGCCAAGGGGATCAAGAATGTGGCGCATAGTTTAAAATACTTACGTCTCAACTCTGGGAGTCAGGTTCAACAAATGTACACACTTATCAATGTACACATATGCCGGTATTTCTTTTCGTTTATATATTATTGATACAAATACGTTAATATCATTCCTTTCATTAGGGCGAACAGGACCTCAGAACCTATTGGGCATGACCGTAGGACAGAGAGTTCTTAATGAACGGAGAAACAGCATACAGCTTTACAATTTATCTATATTAAGGTTTTTGCACATCCATCAAGTGACCAACCAAACTAATATAGACAGTTCGTTTGCTGAGTGACATGGAGAGTGAATTAGATGAGTATGCTGAACAATGAGAGTAGAATGACTTGCTGTCATTCACTTACTGTCTTTATGTCAATAATGTGTTGATGGAAATCTTCTAGGCTTACTTATGATAAATTATCTGACAAACGATTGGACGAGTAAAAAAACTGTTTTCTCATTCTTTTTCAGTTATACTCTTCAGTGCGTGCTGCCAATCAATATGTTTTTGGAGAAGATTTATATCTTCCTATGGCTGTGGTTTTTCGTCGTTGGTGTGGTGACGCTGCTTAGTATGATAGTGTGGATAACACGGATCGGAACGTCACGATGTCGGTTCTCGTGGATTCGACATCAGCTGCTTACAATCCGACAGCTTAATAAAAGCAACCAGAGTTGCATGCAGTTTGTAGAAAGCCATTTGGGCCCAGATGGGGTCTTTGTGTTACGTTTGATCTCTCAGAACTACGGTGATTTAGTTGCTGGAGATACCGTTGGGGAATTATGGACTGCCTACTGGCAGAGACGTCAAAGTGGAATTTTGTCTGCCAGTACCGACGGTAAGAGCACCGAAAAACAGCTCGACAATGTCAACACGCAAACTGCTAAGCAGCATGTCACCCAAGTCGTACGGAACACTGAAAAGCCGCAGTTAAAAAGAATTCCACGATCTGCACGAAACACTCCAATGGGCAGACAGGAACTAACACACACTCCCTCGGGTGGTGAACCCTTACAAAGAGGTGGATCACAAAAGGAACGGCGCCGAAAAAATTTAATGCATACTGGATATTCGGCCACGATGATGGCCACAGAAATGATACATCCATCAGATCGGTTTGCCGTTCCTCTACTGTCTTCCTCCAGAAAACCACCATCTGTAGATTCACAGGATTCCTCTAGGTATAGCAGAGAAAGTAGAGATCGAGAGCGAAGTGTTTCTCCTCCACCGATTCCACAAAGATCTTCTGACGGTGCTGAATATAGTTTGAGCGAACAGCGATCTATTGCAGACTTGGAGGTTGGTGCAAATTCTCAAGTATCGTTAGACGAATTGCGAGTATCTCCACCTAGAGACGAGGATATTAATGAACATGAAGTCGGACATGTGGTTACACAAGATGACTTTGATAATGCAGACGTCATCGACCGTCGTTATCAGGACGTGTACGATGGTGCAGCAAATGGGTTCGATCAACAAGATTATAACCAATACAGAGAGGATTACAACGAAGGTTTTAATCACGATGATCACATCGTTTAACTGAACGTTTTCACTCTCTCTTCAAACCAGGAATTTCAAGTCTTTCTCAAGTTGGAAAAAATGACACAGGTAGCCATGACAATCACTGATTGCACATTTCCTCCTACATAGATGACTCTTTTTCCTATTCAAACATCTTTCAGAGGATAATGCTTTGATTTTTTTCGGACGACTTCTGTTCACCTCCAAGGCTAATGAATGACTGGGCTGAAATTTTTAATGCAGGATCCAGCAAACGTATACAGTCGGCAAACCAAACGTCACAACTGTTGCGCTTCTTTTCTTATCCCCAAATGTTATGGTGGTTTTTAATACAGAATATGTTTGAAACGGATATTATTTTTCTCGGGTCAGTGACAGGACATCGGGTTGACGAAAAGTGAGTTTAGTCTTTGTGAACAGTTTGGTGTTGATCAAAGGAGAGTCCCTCCCCCATCCACCTTTATTCTTTTCTGTACAATAAGGGTTTCAAATAAGTCATGGTTGTACGGCAGTGAAACATCGATGTTGAACACTGATGCCATGCTGTCGATGGTGATGATGATGATGATCAGAGGAGAGTAGGCAACGGACTGAATTTTGCAATTACAAACGGTGACCACTTTAATTATTGGACAGTTTGGAATTTTGGCCAGAGTAAAGTCGGATTTTTGCTACTCTATCTTGCGTAACCGAATGTAGCTACAATGCTGATCAAAGCAAACTTAGAATGCAGTGGTTTAGATATACCTCATGATTTGGAAGGTTCATCATTCATGAGAAAAGTGGATAGCATCAGCCAAGATGTGATAGCGAATGGAAAGCCTAAGATGACAGGATTCAGACAAAAAAATCCTGAGATAGACCCGTTTCCTCTAAAGTGTAGCATGTTTGAAAAGTAACATGCTACTGCATTGTTTAAAGTGTCATTAAATTTAGACAGCTGAAGTAATCATCCGGTATATCCTGCTTAGTCAACTTGACCATACTAGTAATGGGATACTTAGAGACAGGCGTCGAAACATACCGTCATTAGTTCGACGCAATATAGTATCTAGCGCCTAGTAGACCAGAGATAATTTTCAAATACAGGTTGCAATATTAAAGGTTCAAAATATGGATAATACATGCCATCAGTTTGTCGATAAACTATTGGCATTAAATGAATTTTCCGGTTCAAGTGGTGCTGAAGAAATATTTACCCAGTATGACATATCTCGAGTTTGTCTTCTCTCCGCTCTAATCTAATGGCACGATGCTCTGCAGATGCATAATGAATAGACCTGTTATTAAACCAAACGACTAAAAAACTTGCAAGTTAAAGAAGAAACGCACAATTTCCAGACAATCAAAAGCACCATTGCGGAATCTTTTGCTTAAAGTTTTAAAAAAGCGAAACGGCTGAGAAGAGCAGTAATCAAAAAGATTTTCATGGGTAAATACGTGCCGATTTGGAATGATGAGCACCTATTCTGAGACTCTTGCCGCTGTGTTCTATAGTGAGCTATATGTGCTAGAGGAAGCTTCAAACCCCTGACGCTTAATGAGCAGTGATGCATCTGGAGCTGACTTTAAAACTATCCTAAGGGAAACGGTCACCTTTAATTAATGTGCTTAATGTTGTGGGAAGAAAACACACACAGTGGGTTATGAGTTGGCTTTAAACTCGGACGAGAAGCCAGGCACCGGGATTCTACACGACTTAGAGTTTTCCAAGAGTATATTGGATTTTGTGTTGATGATCAGATTTGTGAGGTCCTCATATTGTTGAGTATATCAACTATCCAGGCAACGAGGAAGTTATAATTAAAAATTACGGAAATCACATTGACACTGGCGTATTAGAACTTAAACTACGAAGCACGCTGATTAGTGCTTTGAAAAATGTGTGGAAAGACAACTTCTCTGAGGTACTTCGGAGTGAATAAAAAAACCTACACATGAGTACATTTCCCTCAAATTATTCTCGGACAAAAAGAACAAAATTTCAAGGTGGTTCATACAACGAAGTCTTGATTCGGAGCAAGATATTTTTCACAAGATATTATTGGGCAGAAAAGTCGTGCAACAATCTTTTGTTTTGTTTTGACACAGGCTTTTATTTTTGACATTTACTGTGGACGTGACAATTTAACAAGGTTCATATCTTTGGATAGAGATAATTTGCTAAAACGTTACAAGAGAAATCAGGAAATATCAAACAACCATGCGCCTCTTCATCTCATCTTTCCAATGTACTTACTTTAACCTTTATTTTAGCCGTGTAGTTTTCCAAATATTGATGTTGTTGCGATTAAATCATTCTAAGTTCATTTGCGGCGACTCAAACAGGCCGTTTGCTCGATTAAGCAACCAGTCAGTCAGTCAGTCAGTCAGTGTGAATCAAAGGCATAAGGCATACGTTACAACATGAACGCATACAGGACGGCGTCAGCTATGTGAGTTATCAAAATTCCAAATACAGTCAATATGTTCGAACCGAAAGCTAAAGGTCAGCAGTCAACTAAACGTCCGGTCAAAGTCTAAAGCTACACCCGTTGCTTACGTGAGAACCCAGCAAGAAAAACACAACTAGGAGGAACTTCTGCGTCGTGCGTTGGACAACCAAAGAGCATGATTGCTTGAACTTTTAAGAATACAAGGTACATACGAGTTCCTAATGTCATATTAAATTTATCAAGCCAGGGTGGCCGTAAAGACAGTAATTGCGTCTTTTAGTATCAATGGGTTTGGTGTTACCAGGAGTATGAATACCTCAGAACTACGATAGGCAGAGTTAAACACGTTTTCGTCCGCCACAGTATAGCACCACAATTACCAGTTGTTCGTTTGCCTCCGTTTAATATGCAAGGAATGCTTATCATACAACCACAAATGTGAAGAAATATGTCGACATAAAATCACCCACATCGCCACGAAAAATGATAGAAATAGCGTCAGATGTAGAAATATTCATTACCAAGCTTCGTTTGCCGTTGAAGTACGCGAAGAAACACAGAACTTTCTGTGTCAAACGCTACAAGGCTTTTTTTGGTAAACCAAGCAACAACCATCCTGTCTGTTAATCTACTGTTAAGTCTTCTGGATATGTTTTAAACATATTTTTCTCTTTGGTCGGTTTATCTGTCTTTCCCCATGAGCAGGGTTTTGTATGACGTTTTAAAGGCAAAAACATCCCGCATCCAAGTTATGAAATTTTGAGCTTAATAAACGCTTGTACATCTAATGGAATGGAAGTCGCATTTTGGTTTTACAGAGATTTTAGTATTTGTGGAGGAAACTTCTGTTTTGTACCCTAAATTTTCCATTTTTTAAGCCTAGAAATAGTTTATATTGGTTTTGTGGTCTTTCTAGACACACAATAAAATGCCTGTTACCCGTTTTGATATGAGATGAAATTGTATGCTCCAAAAAGTTTTTTTGTGGATTTTTCTTTCCCTGTTGAGTAGCATACTGTTTGTTTCGACAATCTGACTTTTCAAAACAAATACTGGTTGCGTATCGTTGCTTTTGTTATTAAAACGGTCGAGTTTATTGATTTTCGAACCGCGTTCATCGCTGTCATTTTGAGAAAAATGCTTTATTTGGTATTTTTTTGCAATAGAATAAATGAGCATATCTCCTTCAGTGGTACAGGATGTTCCTATCGAGATATTTCTAGGGTAACGCCACAGTGTCGGGAAACGCAAACGGTCTTCCTTTTAGTTGCTTTCTTCTAGAAACCTTGAAGGCCCTTCCTTCAGGTGAAGGATCAATGACGGATAGTGTTGGCTTGTGAAATTTACTTAAGGCCTCTTTTACATTGTCGCTATTTATGCTTTGTTGAAATAGAAGAGAGAAAAACAAGAGAAGAAAGGGAGCTTGTGGGTTGGTTTGCACAAATTTCATCGGAAGAATAAATGCATACACAATTAAATTTCAAGAACAAAAGACGCCTGGTAGAATTCAGATTTATGGCATCAATCACTTAGCCTATCACCACACGAGAGACGTATGTATAAGAAACCATGAGAACAGCAGCTGGGATACAATCATGGCATATAATCTGGTGTCATGTTTTCCAATGTCCAGTATGCATAGCACCAATGCTGACTTTGGAACATTACAGTAAACGATATGTGAGAGATAGTGTAAAAATATGCTCATGCTTTTAGATCCTCATCTCTTGAAAATTAGTTAGGGTTTATAAGACTGAAAACTCCTTGAGTCTTTTTATGGTATGCAGCTCTACCAGAGCCCGAATAATGCAGAAATATTTATGTGGAAGTTGCTGACAAGTGTAACTAGTTTGTGTTCTCTGTAAGCGGCTGCTCAGTGTGGGTTAATACAGATACTGAGGCAGACTGTATTCGCGAAAATGTCACTAGGTATACCTTAACTTGAATCTCCAAAAAGGGTTAATTATCGTTTGAGTATCACAAGTGACCAACGAGAAAACAGTACAGATCTCCAGTCGCACGTGTAACACAGCACACGAACCATTCTTGTGGTAATGTCTCAAGTAAATAAATTCTGTCCTCCGTGTTATGAATGTATGCAAACGTTAAGGGTTGTTATAATTAACTGGCTGATATCAAATACTGTCCTATGCCGGGGACCGGATGAATTCGACAGCAAGCAAAAAAAACTTTGTTTAGAACTGAGGGAAATCTAACTTAGAATAGCCAACTGGTAATCAGTGTAAATTGTAGCCAGCTGATGAATCTCGCAACTACCTCAACCTATTTTACCATGGCACGCTGCGCTCACTTTACCACATTGCTATTGCGGTTTCGCTCGCATTGACTTCACTTTTTGTTACCTGAGAATTGCGATACATTATTAATAAAACGGAGGACGAGATGAGTTATTTGACATGCTTTTGAGTTCATGTTTCTTGAGTTCATTATGGGACTGTTTTGTACTACTTCCAGTGCGGTTTTATTCCCTGACATCGCCCACTAGGAAAGAGAAACTCGCGCAACGTTGCTCATGGTTGGTTGTACCTTGATCCGTTACGGCGGACTCAGAAATTATTTCTT